CGGTGATAGAGCAAAAAAAAAAAGAGCATCATGTTTCTGAACAGTCTTTAATTATTTTGTGCATACCTATCAGGCCCGGATTGGCTAATCGGGAGGACCAGGAGAATTCCCGGTGGGCCGGTCTGTTTTTTGTCCCCGAAGGCCGGAGTCTCTAGCTGCCTGCACTCTCAGCAGTCGCACTTTTTTTATTTATTTATTTATTTGACCATGGCCTCACTCTTTTTATTCATTATTCTGCCGCAGCTCTGCTCTTTTTATTTATTTTCTCGCAGCCCCATGAGCAAAATGCAGCCTGCAGGTTAATGATGACAGCGGCACCTTAGTGAATATATGAATTCAAATAATTAATATTAATGAATATTACACCTGCTCAATGAAAATCAGATAATTCACTTCATTAATAAATCTGTTATAACTTGATCAGAAATCAGAAAAAGTTTAAGCCATCAATAGAAAGTAATACTGTGGTGAAAAGACTCTTGCAGGTAACAGTACAATACCTATTTTTTTATTCCAAACACAATAGCATAACAGCGCCATGTGGTCCAGTGGTCAGCACATTGCGTTACGACACTGCTGACCCGAGTTTGAACCTCACCTAAATAATAATTAATATTATTGTTATTATTATTTATTTATTTATTTATTTATTCATTTTTAGTGTTAAGACATATAATACTGTTTGGGTTACTTATGTAGTTGTACATATTTTATTTTTATTTTTTGTGTGATCACTATTACAAAGGACTGGATGTCTATAAAGGATTTTGGACAGAATATATATTCAGATAATGCAGGAAAGGACATTGTGATGTTTTAAAGAATAGTGTTGTAGATTTAGCTACCCTTTAATGTTCTCATATTTATAAAAAAACACATTTGAAGTTCTAAAGCAGCTGTTTCCTTTAAAAAGACGTGATAGTGTCATTAGAAACTGAATTGGAAATGGCCTTATTTTTATATAGTCAGTCGTGAACTGAGGTGGGCCGGTCTAAGGCTTGAAACTCCAGGGCTGAAAAGGAATCCCACTCCAGCCCTGATACCTATCAACATTGGGATTTGAAAATAAGGGATATGTCCACCATAATAAGGGATATGCCCTCCCCAAAATATCCACGAATTTCAAAATATGTTCATCTGGAGCTGTTTTATTATAAATAAACAGTTAAATGGTCCGTAATATGTTTTATTATTAATATTTACAAAAAATAGTATACATTGGCAGCAAATAAACAGTTTAGCTTCTTGAAATTAATAGCTATTATAAAGAAATATCCACCAATAGCTGGTGTGTGGTGAGCGCACTGGCGCCGTTGTCCTGTGGCAGCCGTCGCATCATCCAAGTGGATGCTTCACACTGGTGGTGGTGTGGAGAGACCCCCCTCATGATTGGGAAGCGCTTTGAGTGTACGGCCATACACAATAAATGCACTATATAAATACACATTACATTACATTACAAATAGAATCAAGTTATCAAATCTCAATAATCTTATCTTAACCGTATAACTTACACATTCTTATTCAAGAGCAAAGAATGAATCTCATTTATTTAGATCTTTCGTTTGATTACATTAAATAACAGGTGTCACTGTAAAAATGCGCACATCTAACATTATAATGCAAGTATTCGATTGCTTTCCTAACTTTTTATGCTCATTTAGGACAAAATTGGTAGTGTTAAAAAAAAAAAACACCAAGATCGACAACTTTAGATATTATTATTATTAATTATGTGTACATGTCTGTTCAAACACGCACCCAAAACCGTTTGGGTAACAGCATCAGTTTACAGAATCCGTTTGGCAAACAGAACCTATTTTTCACTATGAAGCACGTCATCTGACAGTCACGCACCGCTATATGACTGTTTTGAGGATTGCATAGGACGGGCTACGACACCTGGAATGAAAAGGAAAGGAATCCTGCAGTTTTTATATTTATTTCAAAGGGTTTTCAAGCCTAATAAAAAAGAAAGCACAGAACAGACTCACATTTAAGAGAAAGGGGCTGCCCCTGGTGGTTCGGCGATATGGGTTGTGTATAGGAACGATCGGCTATTTCATGAAAAATACAGGAGAAACCAGGGAAAAAGGGTAAAATAGACAGGTTTGATATTGTGCCATATAACGCATATAACGTTATAGGTCAGTCATGGATAATAGAAACATGTCGCTACAAACAAATTGTATGAACAATCACCATTCGGTTCACGTCACTGTTATGTACCAACTAAAAATAACAATTAAATATCTCCGTCTAATCTTCAAGAAGAGCCCACAGTTAGCTCTTATGTCATGTTTTCTGGCTGACTTGAGATCGATTTGCTTCTGTCTCCTGCTATTCTGATCCACTCGCGCAGTTTCATCTTCTGGAGATCTCTTTTGATCAGGCTCATTATCAGATACTCTGGGTTTTACAAAATGAAAATATGTGTGACTGCCTCTTTGCCATTTTGAAAATACAAATATTATTTACGATAGGTAGACCACCATGCCGACATTCATTTCCGCTGCTCACTGTCTGCGAAACAATCACCAGACAATGAGAGTGATTGTAAACATAAGACAGCCGATTGACTGAAAACATAGTTTAACGTGAATTCTGCTTTAACTTGCGCATGGTAACTAGGGTGACTATCGTCATGCGTGTGTGTGCGCACATACAATCCACACAGCCTTTATTCTCTTATTGCAATTCTCTCTCAATCTCACACACACACACGCGTAGGTATTCAACACGCACAAGTTAAGACTCTTTCTGGAACAAGATCCGGCAAGATACGTCTGAAATTAAGTACTGCCTATTACCATAGAATGCCATTCGAATTCATTTATTGAAATTGAGAATTCCTAAAAATTCCTTGTTGGAGAAATTCCAAGCTTATACATAACCCCATTTTACAAGTAATAAACTAGTAATAAACATTTTTGATATTTGTAATTGTGTGTTTACCAGTGCAGTTGTCTTCTCTTGATATCAAAAATGTTCTTTCTTCCTGTAAAAATGTATTTTAAATATCAGTAATAACATTGGCTTATTAATTTCTTATACAGTCACCGGTCACTTTATTAGATATACCTTACTAGTACCGGGTTGGACCCCTTTTGCCTTCAGAACTGCCTTAACCCTTCATGGCATAGATTCAACAAGGAGCTGGAAATATTATTTAAAGTTTTTTCCATATTGACATGATAGCATCCCTACAGATTTGTCGGCACATCCATGAAGTGAGTCTCCCGTTCCACCACATCCCAAAGGTACTCTATTGGATTGAGATCTGGAGACTGTGGAGGCCATTTGAGTACAGTGAATTCATTGTTATGTTCATGAAATCAGTCTGAGATGATTCGCACTTTATGGCATGATGCGTTATCCTGCTGGAAGTAGCCATCAGAAGATGGGCACACTGTGGTCATAAAGGGATGGACATGATTAGCAACAATACTAAGGTAGGCTGTGGCATTGATATGATGCTCAATTGGTACTAATGGGCCCAGAGTTCAATTCATCTTTATTTGGTGAATTGAAGTCTGCCAAGAAAATATCCCTCACACCATTACACCACCGCCACCAGCCTGAACCATTGATACAAGGCAGGATGGATCCATGCTTTCATGTTGTTGATGCCAAATTCTGACCCTACCATTCGAATGTCGCAGCAGAAATTGAGACTCATCAGACCAGGCAACGTTTTTCCAATCTTCTATTTTGATCTATCTATTCCAATTTTGGTAGGCCTTTGCGAATTTAAGCCTCAGTTTCCTGTTCTTAGCTGCCAGGCCTCCGGTGTGGTCTTCTACTGTTGTAGCCCATCCGCCTCAAGGTTGGAAGTGTTGTGCGTTCAGAGATGCTCTTCTGCATACCTCAGTTGTAACGAGTGTTTATTTGAGTTATTGTTGGCTTTCTATCAGCTGGAACCAGTCTGGCCATTCTCCTTTGACCTCTGGCATCAACAAGGCATTTGCGCCCACAGAACTGCCGCTCACTAGATATTTTCTCTTTTTTTGGACAATTCTCTGTAAACCCTAGAGATGGTTGTGCGTGACAATCTCAGTAGATCAGCAGTTTCTGAAATACCAGCTTGTCTGGCTCCAACAAGCACTTAAATCAACTTACTAGCAGGCTAAGAAAGCAATTTTAAATAACAGAAATTAGTCTTGTAATTGGTGATATCAGAAATATGGGGTTTGGGGTGAGGCTGGGCATACACACTTGGAATTTAGTGTTGTTGTTTTTTTTTGCAGACTTTTTTAATTTCACATTTTTTTTGGTCTAGTCTTTGTGTGAAGTTGACATCTAATTTTTTTTAGTTTTAGTCACATTTATGCCCTTTTTTGTCTAAGCAGGGTTTAGTTGACTAAAAGTCTGAGTATTTTATTTTAGTCAGTTATAACGTTTAATTTTGTCTTGTTTTAGTGAATAAACATGAAGAGACATTTTAGCATTATTTTGTAAACCACATATAGTCTCATTTTTATTCATCAACAATTTTGGATTATAAATTTAGTTGTAGTCATCATCACATGGCCAGCTTTTTTCTTGCGTCTTGTCTCATTTCTGTCACCTGATAAAGGTTCGTTGATGAAGATATTTTGTCAGAATTATTTTGATGAAAGCAACACTACCAGTATTAATGTATTCATTGATATCAAAAATTATACTTTTACTAGTAAAAAAAATCTAAGTTTTATTCAAAACTAGTCAGAAAACAATTGTTAATATCAACAATTTAATCTAAATGTCGATTGTGGTGACATTTAACTAGTGAAAAAACAAATTTTGATATCAACTTGAATTGTTTACTTGCATAAATGTAAATCCCATTAAAATATGATCATTGTTACCATCAGAAATGTCGAAATCAAGATATATCAAACTAGTGAAAATGATTAAAGGTTAAAGTGGGTTGCCATATGCGGGTGCACCATAGCGCGCGCGCACGAGAGAGAGAGAGAGAGAGAGAGAGAGAGAGAGAGAGAGAGAGAGTTTGCCCCAGGCTTTTACATGAAGTTCTCTCCATCACATCCCATCTCTCCCCCCTGTCCAGCTTCTCTCTCTTCTCGCCTGCTCGAGTGAAGCAGAGCGCATTTAAGAAAAGGACGGTCGTAGAAGAGGATGCATCGCCCTCCTGCTGAAAACGAGCGATCTGTTTCCGGAATACGTCAAGAATGATTTCCAGTATTTTCTAGCGCAAAGGATCAATGATAACATTTTGGAATTGCCTTGTAATTCATTGCGAACGGACCTCTGATGCGTCGCAGTTTTGTGCAAGAATACACGTCTGAACTTCGGATTTACGCATCGTTGTCACTGGCGACTGAGCTGCGGAGAAGTGCAGCTCCATCACACTTGCTCACACACACACATACACACACACACACACACACACACACACACACACACGCACACGCACACACAAGTTCACATCAGCTGCTGGTGTTTTACAATCTACGGGAGTGTACGCGTAGAATAAACGCCTTAGTCATGTGCGCGCATGCTCCGAAAACTTCCCGCGCAGATCGTTTTAAACGCTAACAGCTCGAACGCAACGGCTATAAATAGAGCTCAGGTAAAACATGAGAGAGTCTCGCCGCAGATCTGGTGCTCGTAACCGCAGTAAAGGCAGAAGGGAAGCGGTTTGTCTGTTCGGGGTTGTGCGTAAAGGCGCCGGTGAGCGTCGCCGGGACCCGGAGCTCTCCATCTGGCGCTCTGCTGAGGAACAGCCGCTGTCGGGGCTGGAGAGATTGACTGTGACGAGGTGGAGAAAAAATGAGACACGACGATTCTAACAGTTAAAACACTTCTTTTTCTACGCGTAGAGGGCGAATTCGCGACTGTAAATATCATTTGTAACAATTAAATGTTTTACTATTCTTGTAGGTATACGTGCGTTTAGATTTTAAAATAGGTATTAGTGAAATACATGTATTCAGATGAGAAATTATCATCATATTTAACCTATTTAATTGCAATAATTCCTCTTTGTAGTTAGTATTTATATTTAAACATTATACTGATGGCATATTAGCTCTGATTTTTTTACTAACATTTACTATTGGGTATGACATGCGGAGTTGTACAGAATTACATAAGGAATGAAAGTTTGAGAGCCGAGTGCGTTCAGACATATGATTGCAAGCAAACATGTTGTGGTCATCCACCGATCTGCAGAGCTTTAGAGGAACATTTGACCGGCTGATGGGAAGGATTCATTCACAAGTTATACAGAAGCAAGTGACTTAATTGTAAACGGGACTGGAATATGATTGGAGAAGGACCATTTGGACATTTTGTTTTTCTTGGTGGCTTGAGATTACTTCTGGATCCTGGACTGGGAATAATTAAGAAGGAATAAGGGATTGTACTGGCTCATACGGTTGCATTTCTGCCTTAGGTAGGAATAATATGCACATTACACATTTGCCAGAAAAAAAAAAACAGTACAAAAGCTTGTGCCCTTTAAAGTGTATAATTTACACACTATACTTTTAAGATATCAGTATGCACCCTTTATAGGTAAATAAGGTAACATTTTGAAGAAGTTGTTTTAATAGTTGCATTTATTTGTATTGTTTCTGCAAAAGAAAAATGCATTTAAAATCATTCTTTTTCTTCAATTTGACTACGCTACACAGATCTAGTCGTCTGACTGATGCATATTTCATTCTGGGAAATCTATTTCTAGTCTGGTGATCTGTTTGGAAGATTGTTTCGTGATGCTTTTATGAAAAGAGTGTTAGGTAGCTATAAAAACTCCCACTGCTGCGGGAGAAAGATCCTTGAAATTGACAATAGATGAAAGAATTGCACAGAAGTCCTTTGGCAATTTGTCTCCAGGATTTATAGACGTCACTTCTCTTTTTCTGGTTCCTTTTGCAGCTTCACTAAAAGGTCTAAAAAGACTATAAGAGACTTTCTTTGAAATCTGAGAATAAAGCGTGCAGTTTCTTTGCCCTAGAAACACCAAAGACATTAAGCAAATAATGATGAGTGTCAAACAGGTTTCCTAAACACTCCAGTGGTTAAAGTTTTCCCTGCTGGTAGATGCGGGATTTACACTAGCTCCACTGACAGTTATATAAGAAAAAAAAGTGTATACTTTATAGTTAACTAAAAATAAACCCTTAAAAGTATATTTGTAAAGACAAAATTTTTAAATAATAAGAAGATATAAACCTGAAACATTTCTTTTGTTCAGATGATTTAGCTCGTTTTGAATATATTGAAATAAAGATTTGTATACACATTAACTCGATGTTCTAGAATAAATAGAGCTACAAATGACATTAAGAAAAAAAACAATACAACAATACTAACTTAAAAATAAAAAATAAAAGTTATTGGAAAAAAAATAAAACTTATTTATAAATGAGTTAATTGATAAACACAATATAAAAATATTCAGATTAAATACATAAAAATTGGCATCATGTTGTGAAAATACTGGAATCATTATTAAAACTGATACACTTATCCGTATAGATCATCTTGCTGTGAGACGACAGTGCTAACTACTAAGCCACCGTGTCGCCATATATATATATATATTATATATTCATATATATTTATACATACATACATACATATATATATATATATATATATATATATATATATATATATATATATATATATATATATGTATGTATAAATATATATGAATATATAAATTCATTTTTTTTAAATCCAGATTAATCTCACTGTAATCTTGGAATTAATCTAGGTTAAAATGGCTCATTTTAATTCTGCCGAAGGCATTCAGAATATGTGTGCTACCCAAATAATGACTAAAAGTAAGTCTTTCAGAAACTGTTCTACTAAGATAATTGGTGATGAAAATAAATTATGTTCAGTAAGATGTACTTGTGTTTGCTAACTGTTTATTCAGATAAACATGAATTTTGAACGGTAGGTCTATATACTCCAAACAGCGATTTTTAACCACTTTAATCTGACTAAAGTCATAACTGAAGTAAACAGAAATAGAATTAAGATGTGGAGTATGCATATATTAGTGGCATTATTGAAGTAAACACCGCATTTAAACTATTACCGTCATGTAGGACTTTTCGCCATATTTTCCGACAAGATCCAGACAGGCGGCTGTCAGTATAGGACCGCACACGCAGACACACACATGCACACACATTGCGAAATGCGAATATTTTTTTCTTTCCATTCAGCGTGCGTTATTAAATTCCATAACACTCTCACCAGTCCTTACTCATTAATTGCGTCTAATACTCTAGTTTGTCTCGAGGGCATGAATAAAACATTCATGAGTGAAACTGCCAAACTGCAGTTAAAGTCACCCACAATTACTGGAAACTCTTACATGAAAGCACTTCACGTAAACACCTTAATTATGTTATTGTCTATTTAGGCAAATAACTAGATTACAGATGTCCATGTAAGCGTAGTCAGTAATGTCTTTGAAGTAAGTGAAAGATCCAGAGGGGCATCCAGCTGATTTGATTCAGAAGGGCACTTTTTTTGTCTGACGGCTCAGCGGTTTGACTTTCATTCACCATCCTTCATTTTAAAAAGCACCCGCTCCATCTTATTTGTATATGTTCTACTCGAACGCATAAACTCTGCAGGTGCCTGATAGTTAGATGTGGAGCTAACATTAATCAGATTCAGTGTAGTGAACTGCATCCATGTTAGCACGGCACTTTAAATGTGGTAATTTCACAGTAGGAAGACGCACAGTTTCGAAGACTCGTTCTCGCCCACTACAGTGCAATTCGGCCAGGTATACATCTGCGCTAAAATATCAAAGTCATCATAGCTTATATAGAATAAACCCAGCTCCCAACCCAACTTTGAGAATAGATTAACGGTGATATATAAATGAGCAATATCACAACTACTACAAGTGTGATAATGCATTTATACAACAGTTTGACAGCGTAATCGTGTGTATAAAAAAGAAAATCAAACACGGAGAGTCCCAAAAAACCCCTGCACGAGGAACTACTTTCTTCCACTCATTCACATCTGCAGCTGATGTCAGAAGAGCAGAAACCGTTAGAAAGAGCTAGTACTTAAATGATTCTCTAGCTTAATGTCTAAAGGGATGAAAAACTGGTAATTTTTGCTAACATTTTAAGATTATATAGCTGAGCGGCATGAAATGCCATCAATCTATTAAGAGATTTCCTAGTATTTCTCTGTTGCAATCAGGATATCACAATAACTAACCCAGAAAAAGCCAAAGCAAACACTACCTGATTCTGTGGTATAAATACAGCACTACAAAATACAAAAAAAATGAGATTGACATAGAATGTCGCATACCTGATTTATACTGATTTGTTCAACTGTAGTTTGAAACTTACATTGAGAAAACGCCGAGTTTTTCTCCCTCTGGAGACTTATTATGTGGTCTCTGTTGCCACCTTGTGGCGGAATGTTAACCGTTACTTTCTTTGGTTTGCTCAGACAGTCTGATGGCAGCCGATACGCTGAATCTCCGAAATTATAAATATTTAAAATAGGAACTATCCTTATAAATAAACTACATAGTTGAAATTAAAACAACTACATTCTCAACTAAAAAAGCCACAAAAGTACATTATGTTGTCCAACAGAGGCAATATTTGTATATAAACTGTAGCAACCTCTGCATGTCGCTGTATGTGAGCAGAGTAATACACAAAGGTGAGGAGTGCTGTTATTTGCACGGGCATCAGCCAATCATATTCAAGAACCAAACAGAACTGCTGTATGTATATGTACTTATATAATTTATTTTACTTAATTGTAATGTTTTTATTAAGACCTTGAGACTGTAATGAAGTTTAATAAATGATGACAAATTATTAAAACTTTAACTGACATTAAAGACAAAGAGGAAACATAAACTAACATCAAAAATTTATTTAAATTATTAATAAAAATATAAAAGTATCTCTTTTGATAATACAATAATAGTCACAGCTACAGTATACATGCACACACAACTGTTCACATTAAAGCACCAATTTAATTCCTTGCGATTTTCTATGCATTTTGAGCTGAGTTCATAAAAAAAAGTGCATAAACATCTGAAAAATGACATTTTCCAAAATAATACCCAATAAGGCCTCATTTCACGTTAAACTGTTTTCATTTCGTCTTTGTGTTTTGTTCAAGCCCTGTGCACCATTACAAATCCAATTTAGGCGTAACAATCGATCCGAGAGCAACCCCACGCATATCAATCAGAAGCCGAGCAGTTATTATTATTATTTTTTTCATTAGTTTCACTTTATTTTTTTTTATCATGTTTGCTCCCCCTCCTCTCGCTGTCTCTCTCTCTCTTCCGTTCTGTCTCTCTCAAAGGGACTGAAGCTTGAAGCTGTTTCCACCCACACACTTCAGCTCCGGCTTTCAGCTTGACATCAGATTTACATTGAGAATAAAAAGTGCACACACACACACACACTCACCCACACATACTTATGCACACCTATGTTTGGAAGAAAATTAAAGTCCAGCTTTCATTATAACTGTGTGATTAAATAATAACATCATCTGTTATGCTGGAAATTATTATTATTTTAATATAGTTTTGCATTGTGTTTGATATCAGACGGTGTCCGCTTGAGCTTTGATCGTAATGCAAGTCATGCTCGTGACATACATGTTCATATGCATGCCAGTCTGAATCATGTCTTCACTTCAGCATTTCATCATGTTAGTCAAATGTAAGGTACTAGAAAATGTTGCCATGGCAACCAAATAAAGAGCCTGGATTTGGATCAAAAAGGACAGAGGGAGAAATTGAAATAAATGGACACATCGAGCCCCGCTTTACTCTGACTTTCAGTTTTGGCATAATTAAAAGCAATAGTGACCCGTACGGTCAGGAATGGTCCATTAAAGGGATAGTGCTGCTGAAAAAAGAAAATGCTGTCATCATATAATCGCCCACCACATGCTCTAAATTGAACATGAAGAAAGATATTTTGAACAGTTTTGAAAACTGGAAACCATTGATTTTTTAATTTATTATGGATGTCAGTGGCAACCAAGCAGCAACATCCCGCTCTCCATTGTGAAGCTAATATGGAAGTAACTGAAACTGAATCGAAATTCCACTAGGCCTGGCTCCATAATACAGCAGATTTCCATTGACCCCAATGTTAAAATGGCACCTTTACAGCAGAAGAAAAAAGGTGTTTACAGCCTGGTACAATTAACAATCTTGGTGTATATAGCTAATATTACACTTTTTTATATAACTCATCTGTTTCATTTATATTAAGTTATATTAAGTCTGCATAATTAAGGGTGTGGCTATTTGAGTGACAGCTAGGTCTCGCTGCTTGCCGTCACAGCTGATTCCGGCTGATTAGCCGCTGAACTCTGCTTATATGTCGTATTTTTGTTTTGTTTTATGTGGCTTTA